TTTGGCCTTCTTTGCCGCTATTTGAGCGGCAGTATGGTGAGGCTCCCGAGTCTCAAGCTCGTCTACATCGCGGGCACCGGCTTTCGCTTTCTTGGCGGCAATCTGGGCGGCAGTGTGATGAGGTTCGCGTTCTTCGATCTCCACGTCGCGCGCACCGGCCTTAGCCTTCTTAGCCGCTATTTGAGCGGCAGTATGATGGGGTTCGCGTTCCTCGACATCACGGGCTCCGGCCTTTGCTTTCTTAGCAGCAATTTGAGCGGCAGTGTGGTGAGGTTCACGCTCCTCAATTTCTACGTCGCGGCACCAGCTTTCGCTTTCTTGGCAGCAATTTGGGCCGCAGTGTGATGGGGTTCACGCTCCTCAATTTCAACGTCACGGGCTCCGGCCTTCGCTTTCTTAGCTGCAATTTGAGCCGCAGTGTGGTGGCGGGCTTCAAGGTTGGGAAGGAGCTCGGCAGCACGAGCAACGAAAGACGCAAGGCTGGCGCCACCTCCCTGAGTCTGTTAGTTTCTCCGGATTACTTAATGTGGGGGTTTCCACTTACGACGTATCTTCTCTCAAGATCTGCTGGGGCAACACCGCTGGCACCGAGAACGAATGGACTAGCTAGCAGGGCAAACGCCATAAGCTGGGTAAGGGAAGTAGAATGCATGGTGAAGGTAAACGTAATGACTGGCCGGCAGCTGAAAGATTGAAGGTATAGGGCAAGGAGCGAATGAAAGTTAAAACTCGGACCAGGAGTGGAATTAGAATGCAAAGATTGTGTGGAGAAGAAAAAATGTGGTGTGAGGACAAAGTCTTTATAATGGGTCTTTTCACTTGAGCCCGCTTCTCCAGAAAAGGGAGTCGTGTCTCGTCTGAACAAGCATTGTAGCCGCTTGTTGGTTCAAGAGACTCTGTTGGGCAAATCAAATGTCGATTCCGTATTGGCACTATGTCAAACCTGCTTCATCCTCTTTGCCGGGAACAGTCATCCCCGTGTTGCCCGCGTATTGAAAGCATGGAAATTGAAGAGACATGGCATTGGAATCATTTAACCAAGCAAACACTGGAAAGAATAGCCTTGACAGGTCAAAGTCCGCTTGCGGCTAATTAGAAAAGCGACGGATAGGCAGGCCGGTAGCAGAATATGAGACGAGTGTACCGATTTAGTACCTTGGCAAGCAAAAAACATCAAGGGCAAGGAACGATTGACGAGTCTGATTAGTTTAGATGAAATAGATCTCACAAATATGCACCTCTTTACAGTAGCAAATGCGGAGGCGCGGAGGCTCAAGGGGTTGCAGGGTTGTTCAACCGAGACAAGGGGGAGCAAAGCGCCTCCGCAGAACTGTTTCTGGTCTTACCTTTAAAACCTAATAGTACTCCGAAGATCACCATTTACTACTGCTTTAATGCCTCAAAACTTGGCACTCCGGCGTACGAAGTACTGAGAAGTCGCATACTGTACAGGCAGCATGCCATGGCGTCGTGTGCCAATGAAGCCGACTTTGCAACTCGCCGAGCTGTTGTTTTGCGCAGAAACGAACTTTCGCATCGTCGCGATCAAAGCTAATTCTTCTTTTGCAGGGAGATGATTGTTCGGACGATAGCTCCAGGGTTTGAATATGAAACATCAAGATTCATGGGTTCAGGAGCTTTGGACGAAGGCAGCTATTGCCGTTGTCCAGGATATGGGTTGTCGGATCTTTGAGTGATGGTCCGACGTCTCAACAACCTCAAACGTTTGATCTGCGGCGTTTGAGGCTCTGAGCGACATCGACTTGCCATCTGAATTATCCAGGCGTGCCTCCAGAGATGGCAAGAATACACAAACAGTACTGTAGTACAGTATCTGCACAATATTAATGAAGCGTGTCGTGACGGACGCCTCATGGTTGCTGGGACCAATATTTGGATTGGACGAGGTGGACCAAAAATTCGGCTGACTCAGCTGCATCCAATAGGCGCACGTGACCGATATTAAAAATAATGCGAGGCGACCTTCAGAGAGGCAGGCAAATCTACTGGAGTAGCGGTGACCCATTTTCAAATATTATACTTTACAACCGTTGACTTTATTCTTTGTTGAGGTAAATCCTCTCCCGGTAGTTGTTTTGGAGATTCCGAAAGCAAACGATAGAGTTTGGATGTAGTTCATTGGTCATCTGGATTGCTGAGGACGTACAAACGTACAATACTCACAGCTCATCGTGTGGATATTATTTTACAGACCTTGTGATCTATAGATATTCCTAAATGTACTAATCGTGGATTGCCAGAGAGGCATCTTTCTAATGACTTGTCGACACGGTGCCACAGCCAAGCATATTCGATATGAGCGCTTCTTCCCCGCAACATCTACCCCACCTTTTCGATCTTTCTGCAACACTCGAAATTTTTCGACACACCATCGTAGTCAGTCATCCCGTAATTCATACAGACGATATTGAGGCGAACCTTCATCATGGTGGCATCAAAGCTCCCCTTTGAAGTGAGTTTCGTATAGGTCGTTCAGCCGACCAATCAAAGCTGACGTTGCCTCCTATAGCTCAAAAACGCATCTCTCTTCAAGGAACAGTCACTTGTCAATGGAAAGTTCGTAGAAGCTAAATCTGGCAAGCGATTTGATGTTGTTGGTAGGCCTAAACTTTCTTTCTCTACAGTCTTTTCTTTCATCACCACTGATGCATCTCAGATCCCGGAAGTGGAAAGGTCTGGGCTTCGGCACCTGACAACAACGCTGAGGATGTTGATGTCGCTGTAAATGCGGCACATGCAGCCTTCCAGAGCTACAAAAAAACCAATCCTCGCACCCGTGCTCAGTGGCTCCTGAAGTGGGATGCCTTGATCCGCGAAAACAGAGATGACATTGCCAACATTGTTACTTATGAGACTGGAAAACCTCTCGCCGAGTCTCAAGGCGAGCTTGACTATGCTTTGGGATTCACTTGGTGGTTTGCTGGGGAAGCCGAGAGAGTTACAGGAACCATTCAAACCCCCGCTATTCCTGGAAGAAGGGTATTTACGGTCAAGCAACCGATTGGCGTTGCCGCTGCATTGGTACCTTGGAACTTCCCAATTGCGTAGGTCCTGCGAAATATACTGGAAAGATTTGACTGACACATTTAGTATGGTTTTGAGAAAAGCCAGTGCTGCCCTCGCTGCTGGTTGTACCATGATCGTGAAGCCAAGCCCAGAAACTCCACTTTCTGTGCTTGCTCTAGGATATCTGGCTGAGCAAGCCGGCTTCCCTGAGGGAGTTTTTTCAGTTCTGACCACGAGCTTGGAAAATACTCCACCGTTAAGTGAAGCTCTTTGCCGACACCCGTTGGTGAAGAAGGTTACATTTACTGGATCTGTAAGTCTCTGGGGAGGTCGGATGAATACAATGTCCTAATCGAGATCTACAGACCAGAGTCGGAAAGTTAGTTGCAAAGCTGTGCTCAGATGGCTTGAAGAAGGTCACACTTGAATTAGGCGGCAACTGTCCATTTTTGGTCTTCGATGATGCGGACCTAAATCAGGCATCCGATGGTGAAATCCCTCATGAACTCTTTCCACATTAAATTACTGACTCGTTTCAAGCCCTCATGCTTTTAAAGTGGCGACACGCTGGTCAAGCATGTATCACTGCGAACCGGGTATATGTGCAAGCCGGGGTCTACGACAAGTTTGCAGCTATCTTGAAAGAGAAGACGTCCAAGCTTGTCGTCGGCCATGGGGCTGAAAAGGGCACAACAATGGGACCTGTCACCACCCCTCGAAGTCTCGACAAGGCTCTCAACCAAGTCGAGGACGCGAAGAAAAACGGAGGTCAAATCGTACTTGGTGGAGGGAAGGTGACCGGCAAAGGCGGATACTTCTTTGAGCCTACGATCATCTTGGGGGCAAAGAAGGAGATGCTGATTACAGAGGAAGAGACTTTCGCTCCTGTGATCGCTTTGTACTCGTTCGAGACTGAGGAGGAAGCTGTTTCGGCTGCAAATAATACCAGCATGGGCTTAGCCTCGTACTTCTTCACAAAGAACATCGACAGGACCTGGCGATTGTTGGAGAACCTCGAAGCAGGCATGATCGGGATGAATACGGGTAGGATTGTTTTCTACCAAACCTTTGAGCAGTTTTACATATCTCTGACCCATTTTAGGCAATTCATCGGCTGCCGAAAGTCCATTTGGTGGTATAAAGGAATCGGGGTACGGCAAAGAGTCTGGTAAAGATGTTGCTATTAACGAGTATCTGATTACGAAAACTGGTACTTTAACGCTGGATGGCCATTTCTAAGCAGATATGTTACATAATCAAACAATAAATGGTTGTTCCTTCTTGTTCCGCTCCCAAATATCAACAGCATCTGACCTGGAAAGTCATGTCACGTGGCCTACTCCCTTGAAGAGGACCGCACAAATACTTACTATCCGAAATTTAAAGATTCCATCTGCTTTGGTTACGATTTTCTAGAATATAATTTTGTCAACATGGTGGGATGTAAGCAATGCATCCGACTTTCCTATCTTGGCTAGAAGCTCCTCGGTTTCCCCGCGCGTTTGTGGGGTTAGTCTCCGCATTTTTCTGGACCGCGGTATTCACGTTCAAGCGTCCGAGACTGGTTAAACACGACCAGTATTGCGGGACTGATATGTTTTAAAGCCATGCAAGTTGAACCGTGTCTCTCCTTTCCTTCACAATAATATATTTTTCGCAATTCAGAGCAATTTAGTAGTATCAAATCATGGCGCCTCGAAGGGTTTCTCCTCTTGCGGTACGTACCTTTCTAGGGTACAGATATTGAAGTTGGAGGGGAAACTGGGAAGATGAAGCTTTTTGCTTCCAGACAAATACTAAAGAAGCGCATTTGAAGTAACAGCTCACTGATTGCGCAGTAGGCTCTCACTGCACCCATACGTCTTGCGCTCTTCGATCCACGAGTCACGGGACCGCTTCTCGTCGCTCTGCTCTACTACCCCGATAAGCTGCGCTCTATTCTCCCAGTCCAGCTTCACCAATATGTAACCTCTTCGACTTTCATCCGTACCCTGAAAGCCTGCCTAGCTTTGAAAGCAGTCAGAAGCGTAAGTAGCAAAGTCTCCGACATGGCGCTCAACAACTGGACGAGCAAGTCAACCTTCGTCAAGAGCCAGGAAATCGTATTGATTACTGGCGGTTCAAGCGGAATCGGAGAGTTGATGGCAAGAGAATTTGCTGCGAAGGGTGTCAAGGTCGTTGTATTGGATCTGAGGCCGCCCAAGGAGCCTTTTCGTAAGTTTATGTCTAAGGATCTCTTAGCCAAGAACCACATTAACTCCATACCATCAAGCCGCTGGAATCCATTTCTACGAAGCGGATGTCACTTCATCAGTCCAAATCGCCAATGCAGCTGCAGAAATCCGCAAAGTGCATGGTAGTCCCACGGTCCTGATCAACAACGCTGGCATCGGTGTTGGACGTACTATTCTGAGTGAACCGGAGCAAGCGATCCGGAAGACGTTCGAAGTGAACATCCTTGCACATTTCCTGACCGTGAAGGAATTTCTCCCTGAAATGATAGAGAGGAATCACGGTCACGTGGTAACCATTGCGAGCATGTCCTCTTTCGTTGTGCCTGCGCAGATGGTTGACTACGCTTGCACAAAGGCAGCTGCGATGGCTTTCAATGAAGGTTTGGCTTCGGAGTTGAGGTCGAGATACAAGGCGCCGAATGTCAAGACGACGTAAGTTTCTCTAGAATCATGATCGAAGTCTAAAAGAAAGGAAGCTGATGAAACTTATTCTGAAAGGATCGTTCATCCAAGCTGGATTCGTACACCGCTTATCGAGCCACTTACCTCACATCCGGATTTCAAGGATCCTGTTCTTGAGCCGGAGGAAGTGAGTGGTGCTGTTGTTAAGCAGGTTCTGCTGGGGAAGAGCGCCCAGATCATCTTGCCTGGACGTCTGGCTAGGTTACGCGGAATCCGCGGATTGCCAACATGGCTACAAGCCATTGTATGGAAATCGCAGGGAAGTACCTTGGATCTTTTCGAGGAGTTGAGGTCGGTTTAGGCCTCATTGGGTTGTCTGCTTGGCGGTGTACTATACTTGATTGTAGAACGGTAGTTGGCTGCCTTTGCGGTAGAACAGAATTTGCACACCAGTCTTCCGAGCTGCAGACTTTTCGGTGCGTTTTCAATGCGTTTTCGTTACACCGATCGCAGGTTGTGTCTTGTACTACTGCATAGACACATGCCTGCAAAAACTGGTTCATTAACCTACCTGGAACCGCAAGACCAAGGCAAGTCCAGAATTTATTTCTCGGTTGGGGCGCTTAAGAAATATTAAATCGCATCTGAGCTCTATAAGTTGCGCGGAATATATAATTATGAAGTAGATATTGTAGGGAGTGACTTACAAAAAAGCGAGTTTATATGTGTCAATGTACTCGTATCTTGCGCTCAAACCGCCACATCCACCATCTGACGCTAAACTAAGGCCATAACCTGCACCGATTTCATGCAGATATGCATGCCCTCGCACAGACTTGCAAGCACCTATTAATCAACAATCCAGCCAACTACACCAGAGATTGCCCCGCGGCCCCAGTCCCCAAGCTTCCGGCAAAACCCCGACCCATCAGCCTCAAAGGCTCCAACTTTATATCTTTTTCGACCGCGTTCTGCGGGTACGGCGCTTCTTGTACATATTCCTTTTCTCCGCAACGCTCCTACCGGATGTGGCGTAGGTCAATTGCGCTTCCAGTGCTAAAGTAAGCGGGCGCACGACTCATGCGTCTGAGCATGTTACGTGGCTGGCTGGCTGGCTGAGTGAACTTGTGATCTTTTCCCAGCGTGTGGACCATGATTAGCCACTCTGATGTTTGTTCGTATGAGGAAAGTCGTGCCTTCAAGGTCCAGCTTCGTGACTGGCGGGGTACATGGCCGTGCAAATGAGATACCATTGGGTAGCCCCTCTTAGCCCTTTGTCAGTAGCGGCGGGGTTATGGTGGTATAAGTGGGTTTGCATACAAAGGGTTGCCATTCGGAAGTCATCCTACAGTTCGGCTTGTGGGAAAGGCTTGCTGCTACTGCCAGGAACGCGTTTCATTTGCTGCGGGTTAGGTCCAGTGATGACATTAGGTGAAGCTTTCAGGTAGTGTTTGGCGATGGTGGGGCTGGTTGGCTTAGATCGATATAATAAGAGTCGAGATGTGTTACACTTAGGCAATTTGGCAAATGCAATTTCTCTGCGAGGTGAATTATCCATCTGCAGGGAGACAGAAGAGGTGACTTTTTGTCTGGCATTGATGCTGTATCTTCCATTATTTCTTCGGGTCGTTCATTTGTTAGAAAAGGAAAGAGCGGCCTCGATATATTGCTAGTAAAGCTGTTCTTAAAAAACCGACTGTGGTATGAGACCAAGACTTGCCCCCATCAGACTATGTCTGACCACAAAACAATAATATTCCAGATATACGAGTCCTCACTTACTCGATTCTAGCTGTACAAACGAATCCAAGGCATCACCAGCCGACCTCCTCCGGTCGCTCCGTTCTTTGCTACTTTTACACTCTTGGTCTGCTTTGGACTTCTGAGTTAGCAGCACGCGAGATCATAATCATGGCATCCCTCGGCCTGCTTTTCATATTGATCTGCCTTGTTGCTGCTTTGAGCAGGGGCAAGAACGTTCGCGAGAAGATAGAACAATGGAAAACCTGGGCGATTTCAAGGCTGCCACACCTACCGGCTGATCCAGTCACGTCCTCTTCACCAGCGGAAAAGACCCAGAAGGAAGAAGAGAACTTACGATATGCACTCCCACCTCTCCAGCCCAAGACTTCTTCCCGGACCTCAATGGGTCTTAAACGCCTAGAGAAGTCCAACTGGCTCACTGTTGATGCCCACTATACCTCTGAACACCAAGTCCGCAACTATCTCCTCAGGACCTCCCATCCAAATGTTATACAATGCCTCCCGGGCTCCGAGGCAGCATGTCACGAGGTCCTGAGTATCGCCGTTGACTTCCTCATCACCCGCTTCCCAGACCAATTCACTATGGAGGGTGAATCAATCACCAACCACATTGCCAACGAGAGCTTCCTTGTCGGTCCCGACTGTCCTAACCCCTTAGAAGTAGCAGCAAGACTGGCGATGGAAGACTTTAACATCCTCATGAAGAATTCTGAGACGGGAGAATACCACCTTCAAGCTTCAGCTACTTTGTTCCCGGCGGGATGGAAATTGCAAGAGAGGATTGGGACGACGATGGTAAATTTGCATGGGCCTGTACCGAGTTGGAAGGAGAAGATGGGAGGGGCCGTGAACAGGTACTGCTTCTTGAACCCACCCTTGTGTTCCACGCTAAAGATTATTCGATGAAGGTATTTTGACCACTTATCCGCCAAAACGGCAATGGAGCGGACGAATCTCTTCATTCAGTCAGATCCACATCTCTTCAGCGATGCTCCAGAAGTTCCCGCCGGCCAAGAGAAAAAGACAATACCCCAAGACCTCCAGGTAAGGAGAGAACGTCAGACGTTCACTCGGCTCGAGAAAACTGGTGCAGTACTGTTTACCGTCCGGACGTACATGCAGCCGGTTGAGGAACTAGGGGACGAAGAAGCGGTAGCATTGATCCATCAGGTGGGAGGTTGGGAGGAGGAAATCAAAGTGTATAAAGGATGGGACGTTTGGGGGAAAGCATTTGAGGAGTGGTGTGAGAAGAGGTTCGGAAGGTGACAGGCGTGGGAGAAAGTGAAGAAAAGGGGTGTATCTTAAGGAGGCAAAAGCCTGGGGAACAAAAGCTGATAGTATCAGCAATATCTGATAGATCAAAAAGCTTCACAGCATCGGAATTCCATAGCATCAGCATTGATTATTCCTATTCAAAAAGCAAAATCATATTCATAACATTCGGCGAATCTTACCGGATGCGACAATGTGGACTGGTGACCTACAGTAATAGGGTTCTGGAGCTCAGGTAGGAGTGATAAGAAATAAACGGACGATTGTCGCAAGCATTAATTCTCAATCCGGGTTTTAGGGAGTATGTATTTCCTAATTTGGCATTGAAAAGCAAGAGCAAAGCTACGATATGCAACTTCAATCCAGAGTGTCTTCTGCAGATTCCTCGCGGCAATAATACAAAGCTCGAATACGAAAGAACAGAAGAAAAGAGGCAGAAGTTGAAGAGTATATACTGTATGCCTGTCTATCACCACGTGATCATTGCGATAACACCTCAGGGTCTTGAGACATCGACCTCACCTCTCTTCCGTCTTGATTCAAAACTACAACTAGCAATCCAAACCCCGCGACCATGGCCGATCATCCCCAGAGATTCCAAGATGGCGACCGTCCAAGGGATTCAAGATCTCGTTCTCCGCGACGCCATCACTCTCATTCCCATCGAACACGCTCCCCGCATCGATACCACAAGCGCAAACGCTCCCCTGAAGCATCTCCTGTCAAAGAACTCCCATATAACACACGGCCCTTGACGAAACGCGACTATGGCGCTTTTAAGCCCATGTTTGCACTATACCTGGATATACAGAAGAGCAAGATACTAGAGGATTTGGACGAGAAGGAAGCGCAAGGACGGTGGAAGAGCTTTATTGGAAAATGGTAAGGATATCATCGTGGATTTATGGATGGTTGTGTTGAGAGCTTGGCTAACATATGTGAGGAATCGTGGAGAACTTTCCGAGGGCTGGTATGATCCTTCTACGCTACAAAAGGCTGTACAATCTGCTCAAGACGAGCCCGCGCCCCACTACGAAGAGCATAGACCCGAAAGACCGAGAGAGACGCGCAGAGAACCGTCCGAGGAACAAAGGAGTGGAAATGATAGTGAAAGTGATGATGAGATTGGACCTACGCTGCCAGGCCAGGAGGGCAAGTCGAGAGCTGGGCGCATGGGACCTAGTATTCCGAATATGCAGGATCTAGAGCTCAAGAGAGGTTCGCTACCCCCGCGCAATGTCGTTTACCCATTTCTAACAAAATGTACAGAAACGGAAGTCGAAGATGGACTTGACCGGCGAGATGATATCAGATTTGCCCGCAAGATTGATCGGAAGGAGCAAAAGGCAACATTGGATGAGCTAGTCCCCCGAGCAGAAGCCGGTACGAGGGAGCGCCAACTGGAGAAGAAGAAGGAAGTCAACGAGAAGATGAAATCATTCAGAGAGAAATCTCCTGGTGCAGAAGAGGTCCCGGATACGGAGTTGATGGGCGGTGGAGATGGGATTGGGGAATATAAGAAGCAGAAGAATGAGTTTGAGAGGAAGAAGAATGAGCGCGAGTTGAGGAAAGAGGAGATATTGAGGGCGAGAATGGCGGAGAGAGAGGAGCGGTTGCAGGAATATAGGGCGAAAGAGGAGGGGACAATGTCCATGCTGAAGGCACTAGCTAAGCAGCGATTTGGATGACTTACAGCAATACATCTGGTTATGGAACGCTGAGTATCCATAGAACGTTGGACGAGTCGATTTGATGCGTGAATGACATATTCTTTGGACAATATCAACATCAACCATATCTCTGGAACCGCCTCGGCTGTTTCCTATGTAAGCAGGTTATCCTCTCAACCGCCCCCCTTTATTGATGAAAGCACGGAAAAGATTGCATTTTTGAGTAGTGACCAACAGTAGCTTTACGTCACTTCGTAGCTATACAATACATAGAAATAAGGGTTTGGAATAGCAATGTATATATATATATCGACCTTACTCTATCATTTGAGAAGGAACAGTGGGTCGCGGTACCCCTTTTAAGCGAACCTTATACATATATCATCACTACTAGGATGATTCGGAAGAACTGCGGTATTCAACATAGATAATTTATAAATCCCATCAAGTCCCTCGATAGTAAAGACGACAGATTCGATGGCCTTTATGCTGCACGAGCCATAGGGAGACGGGATCGGCATGATTGAAGTCGACGCACATAGTAGCCCATATATCTACTCTCGAGACCGCTCTCAACTTTAAACAAAGTGAAGCGCATACCCTAAATTCACCGCATTTAAGATTTCAAGATGAAAAGGAATTTCATGACTGCAATTCGTCAATGACTGCAGGCAGAACCTCAGAACACCAAGTAGAACCGGAGCTCATCCAGCGAAGACCCAGATATTCACAATGAATCCTGCAACCTTGTTTAGGAATATAAATCTATATTCGTTGGTCACATGGTTTGATGATTCCAGATCAGATATTACATGCTTTTTGATCTGAATTTTGAACGGCTCCAGGGTTTTGATAAAGGGCAACAATGCGTATAAATACAAGCTCGCAACCAGTGCGAGGAATATAGAAGGGCAGGACTCACAACACACGAGACTCTTCACTGCCAACTATCAGCCAGCCACGTCTTATTCTCACTCTCGATCTTCATAACCAACTCGCCCAGCAAGCCATTTGCCCACCCAAACCAAGCCCTACTCCAATCACCCTGACTCCACGCATTCACACTCTCGTGTATCACGCCTGTTCCCGACGTAGAATCTAGCACCATCCGAAGCTGTTGCTTGACCTCCCCCTCGAGTTCCTTCTCATCACCATCCGCAATCAAGAAAGCAGTGATCGATCGCACAATAGCCGCCATAGGCCATCCCTTTCCAGGCCCAAGATGCGGGCCTCCAATCGCAGAAAGCTCCGGGCCTTTGCTGAAATACGGATTACTATCGCTGAGCACAAAGTCCCGCGTGTTGCGATAGATTTTATCGTAATCTCGTTTCGGATCCCCCTCTGCTGGTTCTGGGAGAGGGAATTTGGAGTGTGTATACTCAAAGAGGGGGATTGATAGAAGTGAGGGAATGTTTGCATCATCCATGAGATTGACACCGCCATAGCCATCGATCTCGTAGGCCCAGATATCGCCAAAATCGCGGTGATGAACGACTGCGTCTCGGTCGATTCCTTTTCTGATTCCAAAGGCGAAGTCCCGCATGACGGATGTGAGGTTTTTCGCTTCGTCGCCTTCGAGTTTCTCCATTATGAGTGAAGCCTCTTCGAGATACTTTGCAAACATCATGTTTGCGGGTACGAGAAGCTGGTAGATGCAAGCATCGTCTGAAGGTCTGAAACCAGACCTTACCATGCCGTTTTCTTTAGTTGGATTCCCAAGTCCGTTGTTAGTGAGGGTCTCTGATCCACGATTCGTCCATCCGACAAATGTCCATGCTGACTTCTCAACCTTGCCATTCTTTGCATAAGTACCCAATCTCATAGCGCCCGCAGCATCAACTGCTGCTTTCACAGCTTGAACCCATTTGTACTTTTGAAAGAACTTTAAATCTTGAGTACGTTCATAGTACGCGGTAGAAATCTGGAGGAAAGAAGCAAGCGAGTCTAATTCCCATTTGCAGTCAAAGACTAGGGTGGGATCGTAAGGTGGCATGGGACTATTTTGACTGTATGCTCCATTGTGTGATGGTTTCAAGCCCGATTCTGGTGGAGGTTGGAAACTATGACAGTACGGCGAGATGATGATATATCGTGAGTGGCTGTTAATTAGTCCTCGCCACAAACTAGCTAGGGAATCTGGATCATCTGATGGCTCTAGAAGAGGGAGGTAAGAGTAGACTTGAGAAGCTGAGTCTCGTAGCCACATGGCATCGATATCACCTGTAATGACAAAGGCTAGCTCTTCATCTGTGATTTCTGGCAATATGGCGCCTGTCGTAGGATGTGTAGCATTCGCGTAGGATCTAGATTTGATCGTGGTATCTAACGTGTTTGCTGCAAACGAATTAGTATGATCAAAAGGCGAGCTGGAATAGGTAGCCAAAGAGCCTACGAGCTGTTTTATGAGTTGGAATCCCACATACTGGGAAACGCTTATTTGATTCATGACACAGCTCTCAGCTCCGGAGCTCACATAGAACATACAGCCTTCTTGTCTGGGGGTCTGACTAACGGTAGCTGTTCTCAAAGAGCCGGAAGAGATCAGGATCCATAATGACTCCTTTCATACGCTCGATGACTTTTTCCAGAGAAGGTAATTGAAACGTACGGCATTCCGGATCTGGACGAGAATAGGGGAACTTTCTCTTGCCCTCGGAAAGCGGGTTTTGTCTCAATTGTTGTAATTTCTCGTATTGAAGACATTCTTTCGTTGGAGTTGGTGATGGAGCTGATTCTGAGGCTGATGATACGGCAGAGTTGTGAATCGCAGCCGGTCCTGTGGTCATTAGAGACTCTGGGGGACTTTGTACAGGTGAAATATAGCCCCCACGTTCGGCGCTAGTGCTCGCATTCCCCGGATTGTTGTGCAGTGTGAGCGACTCGATGCTCCAGACGCATAATAACACAACAGATATAGCTACAGCCACAGCAGCCACTCTCAATCGTCGTCGCGCCATGGTTCGTAAATATAAAGTTTACTCAGTATCATACTGTACAGTCAGTCCAATATGAGAAGGGATGAGGCGTTTGTTGGAGGCGCTGTTTCTGCCGTGCTTGGCTGCTTGGCGTGCAGTTACAAAAATGCCATGCCATCTTGTATTCCGCATATTCTACCCATTCCTCCAGAAGCAATGTGTTTCCTTGCTGCCGTTTTCTTTGTGGTCTGTCCAGCCTTGGACTATTTCCAGTTCAAACGGAGGAGGCTCCGTTGCTCCAAATCTCCTGCGGATGGAAAGAAGCTTGTCCAGCGACCAATATCCAGCTTCTGACCTTTTGCTCAAGTTTGATCTGAAGCAACAGGTGGTAAATTCCAAACCCCAGGCCGATGTTGGCCTTGTGTTGAGAGGATAGACGTCTGAAAAAGTTCTCCGCGTCAATATCAACATCCCACTATTGAACGCGATCTAGTAGCAAGCATACGAGTAATAAGTATCACAGAGGTAGGTACTGGTGTTTTCACCCCATTCTCCTTTCCCCCTCGATTCAGAATGCCACCTAAAGTAATCCGCCTCGGAATACTCGTTCCCTCCTCAAACACGGCTCTCGAGCCTCTCACGACATCCCTCCTGGCCAGCATCAACGCCTCCCTCCCCAACACCCCCAACTTCACCGCGCACTTCTCCCGCTTCCCCGTCACAACGATCTCGCTCTCCCCCACTGGCCTAGCACAATTCGACCTCGCGCCCATCCTCTTCGCGGCCTCGCTGCTCGCGCACGCAAACGTCGATATCATCGGGTGGTCGGGCACGGCTGCAGGCTGGTTGGGGTTCGAGAAAGATGCCGAGCTATGTGCGAGGATTGAAGAGGAGACGGGCATAAAGGCTACGACGAGCGTGTTGGCGTTGAATAAAGTGTTAGGGCTGTGGGGTGTGGAGAGACTGGGGTTGGTGACGCCGTATCTGGATGATGTGCAGGCGAAGATTGTGGAGAATTATGGGAAGATTGGGGTGCAGATTGTGGGGGAGAAGCATTTGAGGGTTGAGAAGAACAGTGCTATTGCTGATATTGGAGAGGAAGTGCTGGATGGGATGGTGCAGGACGTTATTGGTGTTGATGGAGTGCAGGCGGTGACTACGTTTTGTACCAATCTAATTGCGGCACAACGAGTGAAGTTTTGGGAAGAGAAGCATGATATTCCGGTATTTGATACAGTTACTACTGTTGTTTGGGATATGTTGAGGGAACTTGGAGTTGATATGAGTGGTGTTGAAGGGTGGGGAATGATTTTCAAGAAATGATAGTTCCCACCCCTATCCTACAAACTACTTTGTTTGTTCTCCAAATACGGGCATCTTGAGCCCATGCACACCGTTATACCCTGGCCTCTCACTCTCCTTCCATCCCTTCAAAACCTCATCTCTCTCCTTCATCTCATAAACCGCCACTCCTAAAGGCCGGCACGTATCCAGCATCCTCTTCGCCGAGTCCTCACCCCATCCGTATACCGACAGATCCCCACCGGGACAAGAAGACATAGCACACAGCAAGTCCGTCTCTGCAAAGAAAGTAAAGTAGTCTCCCGGCTTCGCAGGACAAGTCTCCCTACCCAAAGTCAGAACCCAGTTTACATCATCTCTAAATACAGCAAAAGACAACTCACATAAAATATTTCCCATCCCGATTCAACCCAGTGACCTGGAAGACATTAATAACATCATGAACATCCGCCTCCGTAAGCCCAAACGGCATCACAGCTCGGGTGAGATTCGAATGACAATGATAATCAAAATCATTCCCGCTCAGCAACTTATTCACTATCACTTTCATCAGCTCTTTGCCTTCTCCCTTCCTTCATTCCCATTTTACTCTTAAGTAAAGGCACTTATAGTACTATACATACCATAAGGATCACACCTCGTCCCCAGCAAATCATGAACCCTTCCCCCCACCCCCATCAACACCATAACCCTTCTACTCAGCATTAGCAACACTACCTCAAAACCTCGACCTAAAAGAAAACAACTCACCAAACTATCCCCCACAATCGTAGCCAAAGGCCTCATATACGGCAAGCAGCTCCACAGCCTATCACCAACCGACACATGCGAAGCATGCAGCTGTTTCGTCCGCGAAGCCCAAAACCGCTCCCGTGGATTATCCAAGGAGAAAAGATTCAGATCTCCAACTTGTGGTCCATGCGGTGTACTGAGGGTACAGAGTTGTCCTATATAAAAAGCAAAACAAAAACAATCGTCAGCTATGCGGTTCTCTTCATGATAGAGAAATAGTACCATTAAACGTGAAACGGAAATAACTCAATGGGAATAACAATTATGAGTGAGTGAGTGATTGAGTGAGGGAGTGAATGATTTTGATATCCTCCTCGACTCCCACTCCCACTTTCGAAACACATCCATACATACATATACACATACCTTTCTTCACAACCCAAGCCCTCCCACTCCTTATCGGAATCTCAAACCCCTCAACCAGCGTCTTCCGATCCGCATCCTCAGACAGAGCTCCAATTTCCCTATAAAGCGCTTTATCACCATACAGCGCTGCGCTGTTGCCTGGGTTTTCGTCGTATGAGGGCGTGGGGTTTCTAGTCGTCATCTCGACGTAAATATGACAAAGTAAATATGAATTGATTGATAAAAGCTTATTATTCTTATTTGAAAAAAATTGTTTATTTCACAAGTTTATATATAGGTTGGTAAAGAGATGATTGGGTTTTATGTAGAAAGGTTATGAAGTGGTGATTATTAGGTGTAGATAATTGTCGGGCGAAGCGAAGGCCGACGATTATTAGTAGGTAAGCTGGTTTCGTAAGTAGATTGTAGTTGCGAACAGCCAATGATGTTAAAAGCGCCCTGTGGGTCTTGCTTAGATGAGAAGATTACTATATCCGGTGACATCTAGCTAGGGGCCGAGTCAAGAAGACTCCATTGGCATTTGTTATTGATTGTATCCCGTGCGATTGGCGTGAAGTGTCGGACGGAGGTGAACACCGCTTACTATAGGTGACCTCTACAAGGCCACCGATTTCCACATTCAACTAGTACTAGTAAACCGGGGTATTTTATGGGGTACAATTTGTTTTATATTTATGTTCTATTCAGCATCTTTCTCTTCTCCTCATCCCTCGAATCCAAAGTTCAAGAGAATATCTTATCCACATAACCATGCCATCTAGTCTTCGGAGTCCTCTCAACATAGTTCCGCGTATATTCTTCAATTTCATCGACTTCCGACGTTCGAAGCACGACTTCATGCGGCTTCAGCCACTTGGTTTTCTTTAGGAGTTTCCAGCCAACGAAGATGACGGGGAATATGGCGATCATCAGGTAGGAGAAGAGGAAAGTGGGGACGTCCCATTGGCCTTGCAGAGTGTTAGGAATCCATCTAGATGTTTGTGTTTCGGGGGAAAGTCATGGGACTTACCTGACAGGAATACTGTATATCCACCAACAAACGTCATGATAAAGCAGCCAGTAAGTGCATAATAAGCACTGAAAGGCTGCCAAAAGCTCTTATGAGGCAACAGGTTCCGATCAAGGCCCTGTGCATCACAAGCTCGCTTCCAGCAAATAAACGTAAATGCCATCACGGAGAAGTTGATCAGCTGACTGGCCGTAACCAAATTGACGAACCAGTTCAAAACTGCTGCGGAGTTGTTTGAGACTTGCAAGAATGATAAGAGGGAAATAGCAAGCGTGATAAAGACACAGTAGATGGGGACCCCAGACTTGGTGCACTTTCTGAGGACTTTGGGCGCCTTTCCTTCAAGCGCAAGACCATACAACGAGCGACTAGCACAGTAGACATAACTATTTCCAGCGGAGAAAGCGGATGCTAGAACCATAGCATTGACAATATCTGGGAGAATCTTGATCTTAAGCCTGTTCATCGCAACAACATATGGAGAAGCTGCTGCTCCCGGAAGACCGTCTTTGAAAGCAGCTGTCAATTCCTTGTCATCGTATGGCACCAGGATTCCTACTGCCAGACTTCCGAGTACGAAGAATGCAGTGAGACGGTAGAAGACGCCGTTGTAGGCTCTTGGCATGACTTTTCGTGGATTCTCGGCCTCCCCTGCCGCCATGGATACGTAATCTGGACCAGCGATCGTAAACGAGGCTTGGATGAGACATTGTAGGAAGCCTAGGAATCTGCCCAGACTTCCAGTCTTGTAGAGCTCTGCGAATGAGCCAGGTGTACTCCAATATCGGAAGCCAAATCTGTCATGCAGGGGGTTTCCTCCAACCATGACGATGAATGTGAAGATAATGAGGCCGACAATTAGGAGGACTTTGCCCATTGCGAGCCACTAGAAACCATTAGAGGAATCTCAAACGCTTTCGGATAGTTACTCACAAATTCCGATTCTCCATACCACTTTACAGCGAAGAGATTGATAATCCTAATCTCAAGATTAGATTTGGGGCTTCCAAGGAAGTAGCAATACCCACCCATAGAGCACAACGACAATTGCAATGATGCCACCAGCTGGTACAGCGTCAGACCAGTAGTGGATAATCACATTACATGCGACGATTTCGAAGGGAACAAGAGCCGCCTCAAAAATGAAGAAGTTGTAACCAGCAGCAACCCCGAAAGCCTCATCAACATAGCGGCCAGCAAATCGAATAAATGGCGAACTGATTGGTAAGTAGGTGACCATTTCACTCATACACTGAACCGACCTATTAGTTCCAGACTAGAAGATGCTTTGGGCTGAGGCGCGTTGGCAGATCACTAACGTTCGTAACGGCCAGAATAAATGTACACCTATCACAGAATTGCATGAGTTCTAGATCATGTGTATTGGAAGGAGTTGGTTTTGGGCAGACATGGAAATTTCATATGTCTTCTGCCCTTGGAACGCTGCTCGCTAGGATCAACATACCATATTGTAAAAGCCATAAACAAGCTACCGGGTCCCCCATTGAGCAATCCATGTCCAATTGACACGTACAGAGCAGTTCCAATTGTGCCACCAATACCGATCAGTTGGATGTGTCTCGGGCGAAGTTGTCTATGAGTCGAGTCGTAGGAAACCTTGATCGAGTCGGAGTCCTGGTAAGTTGGCGGCGACTGGGTTTTGGCTTCTTCGTGCATCATTTTGCTGAATTGCGCGTTTTCCTTCTCAGCAGCTGCAATCTCGTACTCTGCCATGGCCGAACCAGGAATATCGACGCCTGAAGAGGCCATCGTGGGCAATTAAGATAGTCGGTCAGAGAATGGAGGTTCGAAGGGAAAATAATGTGTCTACCCCTCCAAGAATTCAAGAAGATCGAAAGCTAATGGCAGAGCGAGAGATAATGAAATCAAAAGCGACAAAAAAGGTCAGATAAATAACGCAGAGACTATCGCCAAGCTGGAAGGAGCTCCCAATGCGAATTTGATTCTGGGCAAAAGCATCCAAGTCTGAGGGGAAAATCCTTCCTCGAGCTTACCCCCGCTCCATCCCCCTCTACCTCCGGGCGCACTAACGCACCGTGGAGAAGGTTTGGCTAGGCTAGGATGGACCCTGCGATGGTCTTTTTTTGGTGTTTCTTAGAAATGCGAGATAGTGCAGACAGGGTGCCATGCTTTCCAGGTCGAAGTATGCTGTGAGAAGAGAAGAATGTGGCAATCTGCTGGGAATGCAGGTTCCAAGACGTTATTATCTAGCTTTGCATGTTTCGTTGCCCGAGGGAAGATAAGGGATTCGATTGCCAAACTCGATGGCTATCCACAATTGTCAAGCCCGAATCACACAGCCAGTAGTGTTAGTAACTGGATAAGGCACGGCATCGCCGAGGGGAAAACATCTTGAGGATCTGGATGTGGAGAAACATCAAGCTGCGTCCAAGTTGACATGTTTTGGATCGCTTCTGTAGCTTTCTCGAGTGTGAGAAGATGTCGTTGCATTTGTTGTTTTAGAAGGGGTAGGATTCAGGCAGGTATAACTGAGTCTGTCTGCGTAGTTGCAGTCCTGTACGGGAAACAGCTTTTGTTGCTGCTGGGACATCGACATCTTAAGCCAATCAAAGTCCGTCTGCACTCGTGTTTTCTGCAATGAAAAGTCACTTCAGTCTCCAAGAGATATGAAAAGGAAGCAATAGAGTTCTCAAGCGGGAGCAGGCAAACATGCAGCAAACCTCCAGCCAAGTTCCCAACGTTCCTTGATTCGCGGTCTGCTCTGTCGCGCAATGCAGCCGTTCGTCTGCTCGTTGGAAGAGCTGTTCTTCATACATGCGACATCTCTGCACAACCTATCAATGTCGAACTTTCCATCTCTGCTTGCCAACTTCCGAAGTAAGTGAAGTATTACTGTACCGTACAATACCTATTCATCGGTACCCAGAAATACCGAGTAGGTTCAACCCCAAACCCCTTTTCCCGACCATTCATTTGATAATCAACGCAGCTCTACGACGAAGCCTGGGAAAAGACGATCACAGATGAGATTACCACTCTCCCAGCAAAAACCAACATCCAGGCACAAGCTAGTTGAATATCTGGTTACTAGCGAATTTGCCACGCCGAGTCCTCGAGGATATCAAGGGCATACCTACTGCAAAGTTCTTCGGATACGGTCTCGCTTCAGACGCGGAGAATCTGGTTGACATCAGCTATACGAGTATATGAAGCACACACTGCTAATGCAGTACAAAAACAGCACGTGTTGTCACAAGTCGCGGATATCTTGATTGAGATTAGCAAACACCCCTTCCCGAAAGCGGGGTCTCTCATCCTCGATGATGATGGAGATCTAGAAGTGTCCGCTGTTAGCGATTGTTTCGTAAGTCTAGGCCGACACGGGCCATGCGATACGGCGCTCGACTACTTTACAAGTATGGCAGAACAACACGTTGATGTTATCGCCGACGGACAGGAATACTTCCAGTATCTAAGACTAAGAGAAGCGTATCTGTGTTTCCGGACGCTTCGAGATCAAGCTGGACCCGAATTAGCGGCGCGAGAGAAAGAGAAGCCAAGTAGCTTCTACTTGAAGCATGTCAATGACAAAGGGGATCATCTCCTTGTTGATGAGGAGTATACGACCACTGGTATTATTGATTGGCAGCTCGCGCGCACCGTACCTGCCTGCGAGGCTTTTGGCCCGTCACTCATAACGGCCAGCCTCGACAACCTCTACTCGAAAGATGCGGGGCTTACGGATGACGATGTTTTCTTAGCGCAACAGTTGGAGGTGAAAGGGAGGGCAGAGTTAGCTAAATATATGGGGGTTGACGAATTGGTAAGGAGGTTTATGTTTGGGCTTGCGAGTGGACTGTATCGGAGTGAGATCTTGGGAGTTCTTGGTGGACTTCTAAAGGCTTGTGGAGAAGAGTGCATTGATATTGAAAGTTGGATCGCTAAACAATGAGAAGTTTGTAAAAAATGATCCTCGTTGCGACAAGATCGAGGCTCTGATTGTGGAATATACTAAATCGGGGACTATTGATTGAGATTGAACCGAAACAGGGTTTGAAAGAAAACTATACGCTATCAAAATATCAAGTTCGTTATTCGTCCATGAACCAAAAGAACCAACGACCTTGACCATCCACATGACCATCAACGATCAAACCACTTCTCAACTATGAGAGTATCAAGTTTACCCTTGGAAATTTAGATGTGTCAGTGTCCAAAACCTCAGCACTATTTTCCAGCCTTTGTCCGTTAGGCCAGGTCGAATAAGGCAAGTTTGGGTGGTGCTTCTCGAAATTCCTTAAAGATACACCAAACGCCGACAACATAGTCACTCATCGAGCAATTCATATACTCCAAACCCTAAGAAAAGTAATGAAGCTCATCTTCATCCCCAGTTAGGTCCATATAACTCGTTCGAAGGGCTTGCGGCGGCCTAGAAGGGCCTGCAATTGGGGATACATCTCGAGGCCATTTCCCCGAGTCACCTATAGTAGGTACATCCTCTTGTAGTTTCGACATGCCAGCAATCAACTGAGATGAAGGGTGGGAAACATGAGACTTGGTCAGATTCATGTTCAGGGTTGCCTGTGTGCTTGACGTCTCGGCTTGCCTTGGATCTTCCGGTGCTTTGGTTTTGGCTTTGTCTTGTACGGATAGTGAGGCGATTGGAGATCCCTCTGAAAGCTGTGGAATAGGATGCTGTCGTTGAAAGAAGTCACTTATCGAGTTACGTATGGGTGCTTTTCCTTTAGATATTTTGGAAGCTCTCGATAGACTGGCATCTGCGTCTAGCTCGGGACTCTGCTGTCGCTTCCTAGAAACACTAGGGGGCGCTCTGGATTCGGCAGGCGATCGTTGAGCTCTGAGGCTCCCACCCGCTTCTGGCTGAACAATGGCGGCCTGCTCAAGAAGACATCGTAGAGTTCTGACTGTGAATCTCTCCGGGACGATGTATTCCTTCTTTGCATGTTTGTTGTCTTCCTCTGCCCAAGCAGCAAGATCTATCGTCGTGGCAGCAGCGACCAAGAACGTGGCGTTTAAAAGGCTAGGCGATTTTGACTTTTTAGGATTGCTTGATGCAAGTTTCAGCTGGTAACATTCGCTGCTTTGTTCCTGGCCACCATTTTCGTCATGGGCTTCGGTGGATTCTTTGATAAACTCCTTTATCAGAGTTCTCACCACTAAAAGTTGAACGATCCACTTCACGTAGTCCTTGGCACCAAAAAGAAACTTTTCGATCAGCAGTTTCTGCAAAGCTTCTTCGTCGATGTCCTTAACCCAAGTGCCTGAAAATGCGTCTATCAGTGTCGGGTAGCTTGAAACGAGCGGCGACCTGTACTCGTCCACCTTCTGATAGCTTGGAAAGTTTCGTGGTAAAGTGGAATTGATCCCGAAAGTTTTGAGATGTGCAACCAACTTATCCCTCCATTCCAGAATACTAGACAGTGTAGTAGTCCAGAGAGAGATACCCAACTGTTCTGTGGCAGCCGTGAGAAAATCGTATTTTCCAATACTCTCCAGTTCCGCGAACCCCTCGTCCATTCCGGTCAAAACCGAATGCAATAGGAAGCTCTCATGACCGAGACATGGCTCGGCATCTTGGATTTTGTTGAGATCGTAGACTTTAAAACAATCCTTGCTCTTTCTTCTCTGAGCATCGTAGTGGAACTTGATCACAACATCGCCCCCAAACATGAAAGCATCAGCTTCTTCAGTCCACACAGCATCGACGAGACCGAGCATTTGCATACGAGCACATTCGGCTTCAGCTTCGCCGGGAGCGTCCCAGCAAACGACACCGAGCTGGTCCAGCAATTCTCTGAGCAGAAGAGTTCGCTCGCTTTCGGCATCAAATGGTTGTCGACCCTTTTTTTCGGGCCGGCCAGGTCCATCAAAGACAAACACAAGCTGAACCCCGCGTAGTAAAACGTTGAGGAGGACATACAATGTGTTCTTCTCAATTGGGTTCGCGCCGGGATACTCTAACGTGGTACGTACCACAAGTCAGCTTACCGGTAGTCAAGTAGTACTCGACGAATCATGTATAAAAAAACAATTCTTACTCCTTTTTATTTCCTCTGCTTCTTCAGGCTGGACATTTTTGTATCTCCAGTATGGTTCGTCGACGGCTATACGCAAAGGTCGCTTTTCGTTTGCGAGGCTCTCAGCCGCAAAGTCGGCGATGTTTTTAATCTCTTCATATTCCTCCAAGATGTCCCATATACTGCCGGCGACAATCTGTTAGTGCATGGCAACTGGGAGAAGAAGAGATGAATAATCTGACGTACTATCCAATGCCCATTGTTTTAGTGGTTGATAGTCCTGAATTGTGGGGTTTCGCGCCGGATAATCAGACGGTCTCAGTTGAGTCAAGGCCAAGGAAGTCCAAGCTTGCTGCTGCGCCACAGCATTCGCCACATGGAGGGGATAAAATCCATCAGCTTCCCCCGCACCCGCATCTCACCAACTTTCGAACATAACATTAACAATTTCTAAAGATAAATAAAAGCTTTCCAAATCAATTCTTCAAAATGCCAAGCGCAACAGGTGCTGGCGAGAAGCCATCCAACCCAACTCCAGACTCTTCCACCCCAACCTCCAGCACTGCCCAAACATCATCAAATATCACCTCGCCCACGAAGACGGAGGCCGAGGAAGCCGCAGATAGGTTGTATGAGGAGAGGATCGAGGACGAGTATGCGAAGAGAGAGGGCGGTGCATAGTAATGGATGGGAATTGCAAGGACAGGAAGAGTTACGGACTACGGAGTTTGTTTGTACTGTATGATATGGGGTTGAAGAAAAGCATGGAGTTGCTGGTATTGGATAGACATTAGGGAGGATCATAGTGATGTACTTGATACCTCTTCGTCGTGGGGAATTTGATAATGAATGTACGAATTCAACTCTAGATGTATCTATTCGTGAAGTAAACGTATCAAGTGATGTCCTGGCGTAAAGTAATCATTGAAAACCGCTAGAAAAGAGACGAAAGCTATAATAGAGACGATGAGGAATCTTGGGGATAAGGCTGAACCTTATTCCCAGAACGTCTCCCAAAACAGCTAACCGTTAGATCTCCATCCGAGTAAGATTTTGATATAAAGGTACACCGCGACCTCGCGAATCGAATCTCGCAAGATAACTGTCCTGTGATACCCCGCCAAAGACCAAGAAAGGTTGTAAAAAAGAATGGCTGCTGAAACATAGAGGTTGAGACGCAGTATAGAACCTGGTGTACTTTTGGAGGGCCCCTTGCTTATTTGTTGCGATGGAATGGGACGAGGGATGATATTGCTGCGAGATTTGAGGATTAGCGAATGATTTGAAGAATTATGCTGAGGGGTGCTGATTTTGAGTGGTAAGTTGGTAAGAATTATTAAATCCTGCTGTGAAATTTAGCAGTTTCTTGAATCCTGATTGATACTTTGCTTCCTAAAATCAGATTTGAGGCAAAAGCTGGTAGTAACATTTTACTGATTCCATGACATGTCCTGTGTACTACAGCTGCTCTTAGTATTAAGTATGGATATTAGAGAAAGAGTGATGAGGATGATACAACAGGATGTAGCGTCACCACATTTGCGAATTCATACTACACACGCTGACACGCTGAGAATGAGAATATGCGGGCGTCTAGTGTGCACAGCCAAAGCCATGATGTGGTGTAACTCGATAAGTTGAAAAGTACACCGACTTGGACGTTGCCTGAGTGTCATGGTTACCAACGGCTCACACTTGATACGTGTCCTACTTGGGAAGTAAATCGGGACCCTTTCTGTCCTTTATCTTGGCTACTTCCCACTAAACATATTTAAGATGATAGTGCAAGACTCCATCCAAGTCGATGAACGTTCGATAAATCCACGTGATGACACCACTATCCTGCGGGAAATCAATAGCTAGGTGAGATTTCGCCTGCAACACAGAGCCTTAAAGGTACAAGAAGGCGTGCTGCGATTAGGTGGGAAGGGAAGATACCAGGGTTGAGAATCGAGAGAAAGCCGCAATCACGTGAAGTTGGCTGAATTGTGGCGTCAACAGCGTCAACACCAGCGAGATAACACGCCGTTTTATCAGATTGGTAGCGAGATGAGGTGAGGTTTACGTTTGTTTGTGAGTCGTCAGATAGAAGATAGCAAACCTGGGCGCAGAACTACCTTGTAGCGATCGTCTTCCCTATCAAGGTGGGCTATCCCAGCCCCAGCCTTCTAGGATCTAGATGTCGTGTCCCAGGATTGGACTCGGTGCAGACTCTGATTGGGGATTGGCATTGGGGCTTGGGGCTTGGGGGTTGGAGATACTCCGGCGGTACGTACAGAGGTACAACACACTAAGGCCCTGGCTGCAGGCACGCTAAACCCGATACTCACTTAGCCTCCGTAGGTACCTTAGGCAGGCATCCAGCAGAGTAGAGTAGAGTATCTATCATCCCATCCCATCCCGTCTATACCACATTTCGACCTTTCCATCACAGCACAGCTTCTGGTGCTTCAAAGGTTCTAGAAGGCTTCTTAGTGGCGCCTTCTCTCGAATGGCGGGTCTATATGCCTCTTCTGGGGTTCATTCCTATCTATCTGTGGCTAGGGTAGGTACTGTAAGGTACTGTAAGTATAGATTATCTAAATAGCTAACAACGCTACTTACCACTGCATTGTGAATCGGTCATGTGAATACCTCCGTCTATTCACAGCAATCAACTTGGCTTGGCTTGGCACTGGCCCAGGCTGACAGGGGAAGCAAGGTGGCTATCATGAAATGACGGCGACGCCGACGCTGCTCTTATCGCCCGGGTTCACACCACACGCATCTCACCCCAGGCCGGGTAATATATTAATCCCTTCCTCCCATGCATGTCCTTCTATCTGCATCTGCATTTGACCTTTGCTTTCCTACGTTAGCAAGGCTCCTTCATTCTTTTCACCATGGATACCCAACATCATATGGGCGTGTCCGACCACAAGTCAACCCCCGTCTACAATGATGAGAAGGGTTCCTCCTTAGATGCTGAGGCGCATCATCATGGCGATACCGAGGTGGGGACCGTAGAGACCACGAAGAGAGGGCTGAAGGCTCGCCATGCCCAAATGATTGCTCTTGGTGGGACCATTGGTTAGTTACGCATCGTCAATTGTTCCGAGCATAGTTGTCTGACAGCCTCCTAGGAACTGGTCTCTTCGTTGGAAGTGGTGGAACACTGGCCAAGGGTGGCCCGTTATTTATCCTCATGGCATACATCCTTCTCAGTGTCCTCGTCTTGTTTGTTGTAACGGCCATCACTGAAGTCTCCGCCTACCTTCCAGTCAGCGGTGGTACCATGAGTTATTACGGTCACAGAAATGTATCCAACAGTCTTGGTTTCGCTATGGGCTGGCTCTATTTCTATTCCCTCGGTATACTGGTCCCGTATGAAATAACAGCAGCCGGCTTAGTCATCGACTATTGGAATTCGCCCATCAATATTGCCGTCTGGATTACCATCTTCATTGTCGTCATTGTGGGATTGAACATTCTTCCTGTTCAGTTCTATGGAGAGACCGAGTTTTGGTTTGCCTCTCTCAAGGTGTTCATGATGATTGGTCTCCTGATCCTGTCATTCATCCTGTTCTGGGGTGGTGGACGTAAGTCATCCAAATTCATAAGTAGAGGTTGGTGCTAACTTAAATCTAGCAAAGCAACATGGTATTCTAGGCTTTCATTACTGGAAGGATCCAGGAGCCACAACCGAATGGCTTCGTCCTGGAAAGACGGGTCGTTTCATCGCCTTTGTGGAAGTGGTGGTGCTCAGTGCTTTCCCATTCGTAAGTCCTCATGCTCAATTGTTCTCCTAATGCTAACATGTGTAGACTTTCGCCCCTGAATTACTGGTCGTCACTGGAGGAGAGATGAAGTCGCCCCGCCGTAACCTTCCCAAAGCCGCAAAGCGTTACTTCTACCGTCTCGTGTTCTTCTATATCGGTTCCGTCCTCGCAATCGGTGTCATCTGCCCATTCAACGACGCCCGTCTTACAGACGGTGGTGTTGGCGCAAAGTCCTCTGCTTTCGTCGTCGGTATCGCAGATGCAGGCATCTCAGGTCTTGGATCCGTCATCAATGCTATCATCATTACCTCTGCGTGGAGTTCCGGAAACTCCTTCCTCTACATGTCCTCGCGCTCGCTGTACTCCCTTGCCATCGCCGGAAATGCGCCCAAGATATTCACAAAGTGCACAAAGCAGGGTGTTCCATACATGGCCGTTATTGCCGCAGCGCTGTTCTCACCCCTCGCCTACTTGAACTGTGCTAGCAGTGGTTCCGTTGTTTTCGGATGGTTTGTCAACTTGACCAATACTTCGGGCTTCATCTCCTGGATCTGCTGCAGCATCGTGTACATTCGATTCAACAAAGCTTGCCGTGCGCAAGGTCTTCCCAAAAGCGATATTCCTTACCATTCTTTCCTACAACCAGTTGGTGCCTACATCGCCATGGTAGCCTTTACCATCCTCACCCTGATCAACGGCTTCGATGTATTCTTCCCAGGTCGCTTCTCTGCGTCTAGCTTCTTGACGGCTTATGTGGGGATTCCGATCTTCTTGGCCATCTACTTCGTTCATAAAGCCTTCCATTGGAATGAGAAGTGGGCTATTCCATCTATGGAGGTGGATTTGTATTCGGGTATTGATGTTGTGCTTGCGAATGAGACGCCCGAGGTGCATGCGAAGGGTTGGAAGAACAAGGTCCGGGGTTGGTTTACGTAGAGGTTGGATATCTCGGAAATAAGATTTTGGTATATGTAGTTCTGCGAACGCTGCACCAAAATAAACCCTTATTGCATCACCCCAGTTCAAGTGACCAAAGCTGTTTCGGCTTCTCCATCTTATATCTTGTAATTCAACCTCCTGATCATCCACTAGAAGGTTAGTAGCCTCAAAGCTTCCATTTCAACTAATTGTCAAAAAGTTTCTGCATTATGAATCCCGCTTCGTCCACCCACCAGCACTCATCCTTTACAGTAAGTTCACCTCCCTCCCCCAACTACCACTCCATCCCACCATCCGCACATCCAACCCCCCCGATCCTCAAAACCATCTACCCACCCCCTAGAACCCTCCCAATACAAACCCTCATCCGAACTCAACCCAACCCAACCCAGCATCCCCAAAACCCAAAACCTAAATCCTCAAACTTCAGACTTCAAAAACAAAATCCTCATCTCCATACACCCTCGCTTTCAAAGAAAGCAACTCCTAAAGCAAAAGAAAAAGCAAGGTTAATGCTAAGAATCTTACGTACCGCCCGGGCTTATTTACCTTCACCTCTAACGCTAAAAGGACAATTATGATTCAGTGTGTAGATGAATATAAAGACAGATAGATATAGATATAGATATAGATACAGACGCGAATACACATTGTGTATACGCACCCAGCAGGCCCCGCTATAAACCTCGCAAGGAGGTATCATCCACCCACGTCCACGTCCAGATCCCCCTCTACGATCACAACAACCATCAATCCCCCCTCTCCTACTAGTACCCCCACGTGCCAATGTACTGTAGCTTATGATATAAGGTAATACATAGGCCTAGCCTAGCGAAAGTCGATTGGAGTTAAGGATGGTATGAGGATATGGAATTAAGAAATACAGTAATACTACATATTTGTAAGATAATGAATATGAAATGAAACAAGACATGATACAAACAAACAGTGGAGGAGTTGATCCGTGTGTCTACTTGTACTATAATGAATGCTAGTCCCTAATTCCACCATGTCATGTAAAGACTGTGCGCCTGGTAAACCAAAATATTCCTAGCTCAAGCCCCCGACCCAACCCAACACCATACCCTTCTACATGTATGTATCCGTAGCCCTTAATACGCACAAAACGCCAAATCAGTATCCTGTCATTCATGTGTAATTGATACAACTCATGCATCGACACCTGAGCTCTTCCCACTATTCACCAGTTCACTTTCACTTCCACTTATCACAGAATCAACCGGCGCCTCTGCCGTCTGCGCGCCCCAACTCCAAGGCATCCAGCTCCCTCCACCACTACTCTGTCTCTGCTTTCCAACATCTTCAGTGCCGCTCTCTGCTTCGATCTTCTCAAAATCAGCCTCGCTCTTCCGACTTCTAAGCTCACTCATCGACCTGTCATCCGCCATTTCCTCTTCGCTACCTCCCCCGGTACCGTCAAAGGATATGCTGGGTATGTGTCTTGGGGCGGGTCTGGATTGGAGGGTATTGGCTTCTTTGTCGAGAGCTGAGAGCAGGATGGAGAGTCGCTCGCGTTGTGCTGAGATGAACGATAGGCGGTCCTCACCGTGGACAGTGGGGGGGATCAGGGTTCCCGAGTTGGAGAGATCGGGGGCTTGGTTTATGGAGGTAGTTGCGGTGGCTGCTGTGACGGCCGAGGCGAGGAGAGTGTAGAAATCCGTCGCGGTACTAGCTGCGTTTGCAGGGAAGGCTGGGCGTGCGGAGGGGAGGTTGAAACGTGCCATGAGGCTTTGAGTATAGCTGAACTTAGATGGGCTACTAGGTGGCGCTGGCTCTTTCGGGGGGATCCCGAGCAAGTGTTGCTTGATCAACTCGATGCCATGCTTGAGGTATGTTAGGCCGGCTGCTTTGGCACGGTCGTGGGCGGAGGATATGAAATCGTCAATAGCGAGTTCATTTTCGTGGAGGAAGGGGTGGACGTGTTCTTGATATAGGACTTTGGCGCCCTGCGTCTGCGGGAGGATGAGGTAGAGGAGGAAGCCGAGGCGGATCCAAGAGTAGAATGGGATCCTGGAACAAAGGGGGGTTAGCAGAAGGTCTCGGTATACCGCGTTCGGCGGGGGTAATTTACCAGTATAGAATGAATCCAGTCCATGATTCAAATAGTAATGCGCAGGCTAGTACGACCCAGTACATGAGCCATGGTGTGAGAAGGGCGGGGTCCGAAGTCTTGAGGGCTTTATAGGAGGCGAAAACGGGGAAGAGGAAGGTAGGGATCGAACTAGAGGTCCATTAGCATAAATAATATCATATCCAGCAAATTAGACTTTTCCAGCCCTTTGGAAGTAATGCCAGCTTTGAAAGGATGGGACATGCATGGCGGGGTATGCTTACGATAAGAGCCTTGCGAATGTATCAAACATGATCTCTTTGTACGGTACGTTGGTGATTTATTTGTAGTGGGATTAAGTAGGACCGCACGATTGTCGTCCTGTTATTTGGCTCGTAAAAGAGTGCAATGTAGGACGAAGGGAGGGGATGGTAAAGGTGGAGGTTGAGGTTGAGGTTGTATGCTCTAGTTCTAGCGGATGTCTCTTATCGGACGAGAGCTTTATCGCTTACTGTAGTCTGGGGTCTCGTGGCCTTCTAGTGTGGTGTGGGAGGAAGGTATTGTGTTTATATACACACACCTATTTCCTTGTCTGCCTAATAACCAAACTTTATTAAACAATCTATCTTTATCATGAAAGCCACGTAATAGCATCTATTATTTTGACGATTGGAGTCTACGAAATGAATACCTTGAACTGGGGAGAATCGAGAAACTTTGTTCTGAAGCACTGGACCGAGGATGTTTTGCCCGTGTTTTTGACACACAGTGCTTCCACCGCGGGGAGATTCGGCTGCAAAGCCTAAAGCAGCCAACAAACACATAATATCATCACCATAGTGCAGAAAGATTTCCATTAGTATTAGTATCAGGCCATAGATGCCGTAAGTGAAAGGGAGTTCCATTTCCATAAAGTCCTAGGCGCGCCCCCCCTTTTTTTCCCCCACCCCCATGTTTATCATTTGACCATCCCACAACGTCACAAGCAAACAACCACCATCATGTGCATCGCCCTGATTACAACCGCACACCCAGACTACGCCCTGATCGTCCTCAATAACCGCGATGAATTCATCCTTCGTCCCACCAGTAGGCCGCACTGGTGGTCCTCTCAACACCAGGACATCCTATCTGCGAGAGATCTGCTGCGGGAAGAGCAAGGGACTTGGTTGGGCATCACGAAGACGGGAAATTTCGCTGTTTTGACGAATTATCGAGAGAACAACACGCATGATTCCGAACACCCGATAGAAGGCTCGAGGAGTAGAGGAGGAATGGTAACGGCATGGCTCACGAGTCCGGACGATGAAAGCACTGAGCATTTCATACATCGATTACTAGAAGGGGAGGGCGTGAAGGGTGTAGGAGGCTTCTCTCTTATGTGCGGGAAGCTGAGGAAGAAGCAGCAAGCAGAAAAGGAGTTAGAACCCTTGGCAATCATGTCGAATCGAGCCGGGACTCCAGAAGACGTTCCTTGGATTGCGGAGAAGAAGGGGGAGGTGTATGGGCTGAGCAATACATTCTATGACGACCCTATAACGTGGCCAAAGGTTAAAGAGGGCAAGGAAGCAGTTCTTGCGGCTGTGGAAGAGGCTGTCGAGGTAGGCCTGGGAGAAGAGGAATTGGTGAAGAAGTTGTATGCTTTGCTGGATAAGGATACACTTCCCCCACAAGATGGCCAGGACTTTCAAGAGTACACGTACCAGCTCCGGAACTCGATATTTATCCCCTCAATTGGAGGCTCTGAGTTACCAAAGCGTATTCCGCAAGCTGATAGAATCGCCGCTGCTAGCAAAGAAGCGATGGTCAATGGAACGAATGGGGACCCGGAAGCAGAGTTGGAAGAAGACGAGACGCACGAAGCTGCGGCTAATGGTGTGACCGGCGCTTATGGAACGCAGAGGCAAACCATTATACTTGTAGATTGGGAAGGTAATGTCACTTACCGGGAGCGTTCTCTATGGAATGAGAAAGGCCATCCTATCGAAAGGGAAAAGGGGGATGTGAAGTTTGACTTCAAGATCGATGGGTGGCACGGAGAACGTAAGGGGAATGAAGTTAGTCCGCATGCTTCATTATGATTGCTGATCCTACTGCAGAGACAAAATAGTATGCCCAGTTGGCATGAATAAAGAAAATCTACCGAACTGATATTTTGTGTTTGAATTTAATTCTTCACGTAAGTAGCGTGAGAAGATAACTTTATAACGTCTGCAAAACCTTGTCAATGTAATTTGACACGACATTATCGTCTGCAATGCTGTCAATAAGACAAAATATATTGCATACTAGCACAAACTTCATCTTGCCAATTGCCATTCTATTATACAAAGGCTGCCTCTGTTGCTTCTTTATTGCAAACTTGTGGTGTTCTGTGGAAGCCAAGTATCGTCTGAAAAGCGTCAAAGCAACTTTCTCCTTACCAGAATTGCAATGATAGCATACAGTAAAGTATCATTCATTATCTAGACATTTCAACGGATTCTTTTTCAGTGGATTGTCAAAAATTAGACAGTCAAAGCACTCTAGTTTGAGGTAAGATACTCCGCTCATACTTTTGGCAAATAGTCTATTGCATCAGCATTCAGATATGTTTCTCAGATCGGAATACTCCAACTCCCCTTACAGCATGGATGATAGAATTAGAGCTGCTTCGTTTACTCTTAGCCATGCGCATGAAAAACTTCACCGCTATGACTTAGTATTCAGGATGAGTGCTACACTCGAATAGTACTATAGGATCAAAAGACTTTGTTGCAGATCCCCTTCTTGCCATATTTTATACCGCGCAAAAAGTAGATACGGATCAAGCATTTTGTTAAGACTTCGCCGCCTTCGTTGACTTTTCCACAGTTGTTTCGTGGTGAACAGTCCATATTTTATATTCAAATAACCTGACTGAGTGACTGATTGACGTTGCAAGTCTGAACGCGATTCGATTCCCAATCATTCAACACTTACCGCCCGCTGGATTGATATTACGTCTAACCTCCTTCCAACGCCTTTTCGCATGCGGCCTCGCAAAGTTCCAAGTGGATATGCACCTCGGTGGTTTCTATCTCTCCAACAACAGTATCAACGGCAAGAACAGTAGCGGCAGCATGATTTCACAATCTTCGCTAGTGGTAAGAAACAATCCCGCTATTCTGGCCCTTTGAACTATCGAATCTGCAGGAAATAACAGATTCTAGTCTATTGCAGAAGACACCGAAAGTGATATCGAGGAAGATGTTGAGCTTGGTGCTGCTGTCGAAGTAGAGTTGAAGGTATTCCCAACAAGATCGGCAAAACTAATTGTCTCAAGACCGCCTCATCCCTCAATTCAGAAACAAAAGAGTCAAGCAAAGCATTGTCTGGTGGATGGTTGCAGCAGTTGTTGGGGTTATCAAGCGACCCGGCAACATGCCACTGCCGACTCTGGTTGCTCTTTCCGCATGAGTGAATCGCCAAACAATCAATTCCAAACTTTTACAACCTCAACTCCTCGCCCAACTCCGTGGCTCTCTGCTAACATCATGGATCGAACCCTGGGTTATGATCTTGGGATGGAGACACAACGAGGTCCCTCGCAGACAGGCCTTCAGAGTAAACTTCCTCCTCCCATCAAGCGCTCCTCGGGACCTCCTAACGCTCGCTCTCACCAACGCGCTTTTTCAATCTCTGTGAATAAACTGCGACAGACGTTCCAAAATTCGGAACTGGAGCTCAAAACTGTCTCGCCATATAATGCAACAGCGCCTATTCAATCAATGCCATGCGGTTCGGGCGACTATCCCCAAGCCCATCGAGCGCGCCTTCCTCCCAAAAGACGTGTAGCTACAACTCCTAAAGCAAAAGCAAAACCAATCCCAACTACCGACTCTTCACCTCTTTCACAGGGACGCACGCGCACAAATTCAGACTTCGGAAGCCCCTTGGGACGAGATCGTCGTCCACTTACTCCTTCCATGACGGTGACGCCAGTCTTAAGTCTCTCTCCAATTATGGGCGCACGAACTCGCAGAAATCTCATAACATCAGAGTCATTGAACATACTGGACACCACCAATGGTGATATGCCGAGTAAATCCAATGAGACTACCAAGGATGCATTTCATCCCTTGCGAACTACATCTCTAATGGCTGTGGTCCCGCGTCCCGATGCTATTCGATTTTCTTCGGGTCCTGTCATGCCGTGTGAGAAGAAAGAGGTACGTCCCCCAAAGTTGTAGGAAAAGTGATCTAACATTATTAGAACATTCCACCAAAACGACTCTTAGGTCTGATTTCTCCAGCCCGAGTTCAGCGAACGCCCTCCCTACCCCTGCAAAAGTCACGTACACACGGTGTGCTTTCGACCCTCTCCTCTACCTTCTCAAGGTCCAACTTAACCCTGAACAGCAGAAGACCGTCCTTGGCCAGCTCAGTCTCGAGTCTAAGCCTCGCCAAAGGCCGGTCCAGCGAACGGCTCCCCACCTCCTCTCCGACTACTGCAGTTTCCGAGCTCAATGCCCACCCCGTTCGTTCTTCAAATCTCATCGGGTTCTCCAAATCCAGAGGCTCTTTTCTTAGATCCGATACGTTAGGGTCGGACTCTCGCACGGTTTATGTGGCACAATCTGGAGCATATTGGTGCGGCAGATACGCGGCTATCAATGATAGGATTCGAAATGAACTCGTGGACGCTGCGATGACTGATCCGGAGAAATATCTAAGGATTGTGGGTCCCTTCATCGAAGAAGGCATCAAAGACCAACAACTCTATGAGAATAAGAGTACTTATCATGGGCTACTTGACGATGACCAGGATCTGAAGAATCTTGGAATCAGCGTTCTCACCTGTGCAGAGGTCAAGGAAGACAGAGTTGCTCTCGGAGTCTTCAAAGAGATTCAAAGCTGGTGTGTTACGCAAGAAGCAAGGGATAGCTTTTGGTGGTGGCAGTTACGCTATGCCCGCGCACAGAAGAATGAACTCTATCTTCCAAAGAATGCTTCTATGAGGGATAGCTGGGTGTGTAAGAAGACAGCGGGAATGCTCAAGAACCAGAGGGATGATTTCGGTAGGAAGAGCAGCTTCGGATCCCGATTTTCAAAGACCAGAACCGATAACAGAAGCAGGAGCGACCTCACGAATCAATGAAGCACGTCTGGACTACAGTCTGGAACGAATCTCACGACAGATCTTCTAGGGTTGAAGGTGGATGATTAGCTATGGTTATCTCGTCCAACCAAAACCGCACTCCTAGCACATACAACCTTTGCATATTGTTGAACTTGTTAGCATACGACCTACCCTTGCATGTAAGATTACTTTCCCCTTCACCACGCCTGAATTAAAATTCACAAGCCACATTTGCATTGCGAAGCGAAGGTGTTGGCCACAACACTGTATATACCCTCCTTCTTTTTGTACACCAAGTCTCGAAATGGAGATTAATCAACTTACGAGACGAATTATTTACACATATATCGCACGCGATGAGTGAGGCATGAAGAATCCTCGGATGGATTTCGGTTTCTGAGCTAGGGATATGGAGTACACACGCATCAAAAAATAATAATGAGAAGGAAATGTAAAAATAATAGCTGGTATAAATAATACCCACGTTTGACACAGGCACAGGCTTCATTTACAGTGGGCCGGCCTAAAATTTACATTCACGTCCCAGATATCTTTCCATTGCTTCCTCATTCCCTTTACTCCTTACCAAACACGCCAAAAAGAGCCTGTATAACACACGAGCTCTTGAATAAACTATGTCGTGTTTGATTCATAGCTTGCTTGCGGCTCTAGCACGAGCACTTGATCACGCACTACCTAGACCATGACTTCTGTCTACCAAGCATCTAAGTCTCCCATCCTTACTGACTAAACAGGCAGTCTAGTGGTCGCATATGTAAAGGGCCCAACTCAAAAGTTGACTTTTAGGGAAAGGGAGGGGGAGGCAGGGGAATGTCCCCTTTGATTTCCGAACCGAGGAGGTGGAGTGCAGTGCGCGCAGTGCCCCTCCCCCTTAGTTAAGCGAGGTAGGTGGGGTTTTCTTGCGGATTGGAGGGGGTGTCACTTCTAGTTAAGTACGGAGTAATGAGGAATTGATTACTTCACTGTTTTAAGTATGTTCGCTGAAGTTGGATAGGAGGATTAGGGTCTTAGGTTTGTTTTTAGTCTTTATAAAGTGGAAGAAAGAAATGGATGCACAGCTTTATCGTAGAAAAGGGAGGAATTGGATGTGGTGCATAGTGTATGATATGATAGGCTGAGCATTATTGGGCTGCTTATTGCCTACCTCTCGCTCTCGTCCCTTCAACAAGGTGCAAAACCCAAAGAGTGAAAATATACGATATCGAAGCTTTTTGACTCACAGCGATTAACACTAGTCACCGCGAAACTTAAAAATTTACGCACAAAATGCTCACCTGATTCTTGCGATTGGGAACCTCGTTCAGTAATACAATCAATGCTATTGGTTGATTCAAGTGAAGCTTGTAAAGTCAAAAAGAAGAAGTGGCGATAATTGTTTAAGAGGGGACGCTTAAATGCGGGTGACATGCGCGCAGCCAATCAGCGTGTCCGTATTCCAAAGCACAAGGCTGAGCCGACTTTATATATAAAGAGGGACAGCCAACTTGTTAAAACCTCTTAACTCTCGATCAAAACCCTCCTTCAACACCTACTTGCACTCGAATCCTTGTTGCCTTTCAAAACAATATACATCACTTTTTCGCAACCCACAAACAAAACCCCCCCAAAAATCAAAATGGTTACTCCAAGCACCTGCTGTGGCAAGAGTGGTGAAGGCTGCGTCTGGTAAGAACTCATAGCACCTTCCCTTCTTCTCTTTATGACGATGCTAACACTTTCAAACAGCGCCAGCCAAGCCAAATGCTCTTGTGGTGAGAAATCAGCGCTTCATTGCAGCTGCGACAAGTCTGCCACGGAGAACAAGATCACTGGTCCTCGTTGCTCATGCCGTAAGTAACCCCTCTATTTTGATATCAACACGAGTGCTAACTGGCAATTCAAGGTGCTCGTCCCGCTGGCGAATGTACCTGCGACAGATCCAGCACTGAGAACAAGACTCCAAGCGGCAACTTGTGCTCCTGCGGTTCCCGTGAAGCTAGTGAGTTTAATCCACAGGATATGGGACAATCAATCATGCTGACGGTCATAACAGCTGCGTGCACTTGCGAGAAAGCTACCGATGGTGGACTTCTGCCGACAGAGACCGACTTCACTACCTCCTCATAGACGGTCCTCCTTTTCGATGCCCCTCCCCGCTGAGGCGGCTTGTACAATATGGTCAGGGCGAAGGATGAAGCGGATCGGAATTGCAGTGGAAATATCGTCATCACTGTTGTTCTTTCGATTGTCCTCGCAGTATTAAGCTGGGAGGTGCTCACTGCTGTCCTACCCTTCGTCCTGAAATACCCCGCATACGGCTTGGTCATTTTCATCGCATTGGGGGTCTTGAGTTTGGCGTTACGGCCGCGCATTCTGTTTTCTTCCAATTTTCTCGGGCGTTTGTTTTATGAGGTACGGGTGAATATCATGCTTAGTGTGGGTTGGGAAAAAGGGGATCTCGATGAGACGTTGGAGGCACTCGATCCGATCAAGATTAAGCAGCAGCAGCAGCACAGGAGAGTTCCTTTTTTACAGCAACGACAGGCTTCTGCTTCTGGTGGTATTGGCATTCCTCCTAGTCTATGTAAGAAGAAGAAGAACGGTACTATTCACAAACGCAAATAAATCAATCCATGGACTGATACCTCACTTTGCTCCACTTGCTTCTGTTTCTTATTACATCTTGCTCTTCGTTTCTTGATTTCCTAGCGGACACAACTTCGGACTTCCCTGTGAAAGCATACTCCGCAACGTACGATTTATCTTAAGATATGTCCCAAACTAGTAGCCTCGCAGTCTCAATTTGCAGGGGTCGGACAACGAAAAAGTCCGCGAATATGGCACGTGATACATCTATTAAAGCCTTCGGACATTTTAAGTGCGCGTTTTCGTCGCGTCGCCCCGAATCTAGTTATATGATGGATGTTTATATATTTCTCTTTGTCGCACCTCAATTTGTCTTTCAGCATTAACATCATCAATTGTCAACCCTTATAGAACAACACAAACAACACGCACAAAACAAATAGTTCAATCGACAAGCCGGACAATACACAAAAATGGCAGACTTACAAACCCCGCTTCCTATTCGCCTCGCCCAAACCATGGGCCTCACAACCGCTGGTCTTCTCGCCGGCGCCAACATTTCATTCTCCCTCGTAAGTACTTCCTGCCCAGTGCATGCCAAACACCTTGCATATTTAACAAAAACCCAACTCATCTCCAATCACAGATAGCGCTCCCCCGCATCCTCGAATCGCCCACGCCCCTCCTCATCCAACAATGGAAGAACATGTTCGAATCTGGGAAATTCTTCATGCCGCCAATCGCCCTCTTGTCATCCTCCATGCTCTTCTACCTCGCCTCGCAAGCCCGGTCCCCCAAATCAGTCCTATCTGAGGATCGCTTTTGGGGATATGTAGCAGCGGGCGTTCTGGCGTTGAGTATCGTGCCTTATACGCTGCTGTTTATGAACGGTACGAATTCGCGGCTGTTGGTGGGGGAGAAGGAGGTAGAAAGTACGGTGAGGGAGTTGGTGCGCAAGTGGGGGAGGTTAAATTTGGGGAGGAGTGTGCTTTTGGTTGGGAGTTTGGGGGTCGGGGCTTGGAGTGTGGTTAATTAGTCGGGGATGGGTATTGTACGTTAGGGGGGGGGGGGGGGTTGTCGAGTCTATCTTTACACTTAACGTTAACATTCCCAAACTTAGCGCCTAGAATTCCTTAGCGTTAATCTCGATCTTTGATATCTTTCCTTAGCGCTACGACGTGCAACAAATATTTAAGGTTTGGTTATGCATAAATTTGGCAGTGAATGAATAGTGTTGAAAGGGTGTATAGAGGAAAGTAGAACCGTATGCGGGGTTTGCTAGTCTAACCGAAATATTCAATGGAGATGGAGGTGGAGTATGAAGTGAGTGGGAAGTGCAGGAACAAGTGTAAGGTTTAGAAAGAAACTTGACTTAAGCACTGATCTGAATCCAACATCCTCTTACATTTCTTCTTAATACCTCCAAGTGCCGCCAGCATACTGTGAACTCCCAACCATGAGGCCGAAGTTGATGCGGAAGTCGTGCTGTGGGGAGATGGAATAGTGTAGTAGGCGTAAGCTATGCGGTTATAGAAGATCTTTTGGTGTTTCCCGTGGCGGATTATGCAACAAATTATTGATTATTTAATGGATTACAGAACAGGGTACTCTATGCAGATATAACTTCAAGATGAAGAGTAGTAGATGAGTATCAACCATGAAGCCAATTTGCTATAGTTAGCTCTAAGTACATCATATCATGGTACGGCTAATTATCTCTCAGATTCTCTAATGGACGACAGGAATAGGACGGTGTAATTCTAGAGGTACTCACCCGAACGGGCCCGAAAGGAGAGGGGCGCCCGAAGATTGACCGGATATATAAACCCAATTCGGATTTTGTCGACACTCTTCGATTTCAAACACAACCTATACAAGAAAGCATAATTTATCTACCGGACTTATAAACGTCACTTACGATTGCCCTTTTTCTTTCACTGCTTTAATACAATATCGTGATCTAACTTGAACTTGCACAATTGACCGCGACAACTATACTATTTCCAATCTCAAGCTTACAGAATGAGGGGAATAAAAGGGAAAGTCTATACGGTCACAGGAGCAGCATCTGGGATTGGGCAGGCTACTACTGTACGATTGGCCGAACTCGGTGCTGCTGGTATTGCAATCAGCGATGTCGATGTCGTCGGTCTTGAAAGAACCAAGAAGCTATGTATGTATATTTGAAATTCAGTCTTCACCAGCTATTTACCTAAAATGCCTTAGGTGAGGCACATGAGACCAAAATCACCACTCGAAAGGTTGATGTAAGGGTCATTGAGGACGTGAATCGCTGGATCGAAGATACATACACCGAATTTGGAAAGCTCGATGGTGCGGCGAATGTCGCGGGTGTTGCTGGCGGAGATGGTGATACTACAGTTGAAACCATTGTAGGAGCAATCCAGTGTCTTTTCAAAGTATCAGATAAACTCATACGCGGATAACAGGTACAAAAAGACTGGGATTTCACCATGGGCATCAATGTCAACGGCGTGATGCATTGCATGCGTGCCCAGCTAGCAAAACTCACCAAACCAGGAGGTTCGATAGTCAATGTATCCAGTACCTCAGGATTGCATGGCCTACCGCATAGTGCGGCATACTCAACTAGCAAGTTTGCGGTAATTGGTTTGACCGAGTCGGCTGCTGGGGAATTTGGAAAGGCTGGCGTTCGGATCAATGCTATATTACCGTAGGTGCTCGTTCACATGTTATTAAGTAGCTGGTCATTAACGAGATTTCAGAGGCCCGACTGACACCAAGATTTTCCGGGATGGAGAAGAGAAAGGGTTATTCAGCGCTGATGCTATGGGTGGTAGTACTCTCTTGGGGCGGATGGGTTCTGCTGAGGAGATTGCGAATGTATTGTGTTTTATGCTGAGTGACGAGGCATCATTTGTTACTGGAGGTAAGTTGAGGACTTGGCTCTAAATCAACATTGCTAATATTTGTCTAGCATCTTGGGTGGTGGATGGTGGCTATAATGCTGGTCGCTCCGCGAGTTAACACAGTCTTGTGTTATAGGGATAGCTAGGGCTTGAGTTTCTGTTAAAGAGACTTCGCAAAGGGGTACAAGAATCTCTTTCCACTATTTGTTTAAGTACACTTATTTATCAAGTGACCTTTTCCTAAAGACTCGCATGGTAACTGTAATAATATATTGAATTTGGTTTTAAGTAATAGGAGTATAATTTCGCAGCTGCTAAGTCGAATGCATTAACTGGTTTTCTATGTACATACTAAGATTATTGGACAAGAAACTCGGTTACTCAGTCAATACGGAGGTAGATCCGCTGGAGCCTTTAGAATCAGCTAATCAGATGAGGTTCCAAGATGAGATAAGTTGGTCAGTTATAAGTGGTTAGATCAGTAAGCTGATTAGGTGTAATATAACAATTTTGATTTCGAAGTCAGTTTAGGGGGGTAGAAAAGTGATCAGCTAACGCAGCCAATGAGTTAGCAGAGCTCGAATTAATCAGCTAGCTGACTTAGAAAGCTCAGCTGATGACTGACTACTGACTGGCTTATTAGTTGGCTTGGAACTTCAACTTCAACTTGAGCATCATACCGCGCCTATAGATGCACACATATTCAATGCCGCCTTCACTGCATGCTGACTAATCCAATACACAAGCTCTACAATATATCCTCCGATCACATGATCATCTCAGACCCACTTTATTAGGACCCCGGCCTGATCGAAATCCTAGATGTCGATCAGGTACAACATACCACCATACAACAGGTACAATCTTCACTTCAATCAATGTATCTACACCTAACTACCTCGGTACTCATATCATATTTTAACTCCTTTTATGCACATATTACCTGTAAATGACCGACTGCGAAAAACTCCCTCTTCCAGATCGATGACGTCGCTTTTTCTTTGTTTGTCCCGGCCCGCTTAACTTGCTTGTGCAATGACGATGACGGCATTAACAAAGACCAAGAGCTCCAAGGTCAAAGTCAAGGTCAAGGTGACCACTTTCCTAGCATATCAATCTTTCTGAGGGATTTCATCAATTCCTTGCCACGAACCGTTCTGACATTTTGAATTGAACCCTCTTCTCAATTCATTCCTCCATACTACCTGTTTCCTCTAAATACATTAATCTCAACCACAATGCTTGCCTCAAGAACAGCTTCCCGAGCAGCAGCTCGCGCCATTCGCGCCCCCATTCGAACTACTGCCCGACAAGCCCGTCATGCATCCACGAATCAGCAAGCAGCAGCAGCAGGAGGCTCTTCAGGTCTCGTCGGAGGCCTCGCAGGTGGTGCTCTTGTTTTCGGTGTATGCTCTCATCCCTACCTTTGACTTTTCCATATACTTACCCACATCCAGGCAGGCTACTCATACTACCACTTCTCCGGCGCGAAATCCATCGTCAACGCAGCCTCGTCAACGAAAAAGCAATTCAAGTCCCTAACCAACAATCTTTCAGAATCTGCCCCTGAACCCAATGAAGCGCTCAAATGGCTACGCTCCACCGCGACCTCGTACGCGGCGTTCATTCCTGGCGGGAAATCGTATGTGGACACTGCGTTTAAGGATCTGGATGCTGTGCAGGAGAAGCATGGCCCTGAAGTCGAGAAGATTGTTTCTAAGGCTTATGGAGATCTGAAGCAGGTAAGCAAGAATGGACTTAGCATGGAGACTGTGACCAAGTCATGGGAAGTTCTCGAGCAGGCCGTGAAGGATCTCGGTGCGCTGTCTGGGGATGCAGCGGAGCAAATCTTGGACAATCACCCAAAATTAAAGGAAAAGGTAGGAGGGAATGTCAAGCAGTTGAAGGAGATGGCCGATAGCTATGGACCGGAGGCTAAGAAGGAAATTGAGGAGATGTGGGGCCAGATTGGGGATATCATGAAGGGTGGTGTATCTGTTGGCAGCGTAGAGAAGATTCGAAATATGGTGCAAGAGAAGGTCGAGAAAGTCAAGAAGTTGGGCGATGAGGCATGGAAGAAAGGCCTTGAGCAGGCGAAGCCGTACCTGGAAAAGAATCCCGAAGTCAAAAAGCTAGTGGAGGAGAACGCCGATGCATTGAAGCAGGGTAATGTCAGCCAAGTTTTCGAGAAGGTCAAGGACGCTGTTTCATCGGGAAATACGGACGAGCTGAAGAAGTACGTCCAGCAAGCTGGAGACAAGGCGAAGAAGAGCGGATTTGGACAATCCATCGAACAGTACGCGAAGATGATTCCCGGTGGAGGAGAGATCATCCCCAAGCTCCAGAAGCTCCAGGAGGTCGCTCAAAAGCACGGTGATGAGGCAGAGAAGATTGTGAAGAGCGCATACAAGGACATCCAAGACGTCTTGCAGAAGAAGACGTCGGAAGTAGAGAAGTTGGCAGATAAAGCAGGAAAGGAGGCAAAAAAGTGATTACCTCAGGAAACAGAAAATTTGCATTGTAAATATCATTAGAGGCGCATGACTTTTAAAAACAGCGTCACACAAAACCAGAGAAGAGCATAAGCGCCCATGTCTGTGAAGTCACTACCGGTAGACGCCCAACGTGACCAGAGTGCCAGAAAACTAACTATAGACTTTGCATAAAAGTTTGTCTCACGAGATCCATTGTGTCCCTGACTGCCTTCTTTAATACTAAAAGCAGGAAAATGGTATTTTAATATTGCGATGCGGAGAAAAGTTCGGCAACGTACAAATACCCAAAATCCTTACCCCGCTAAAACCCTTTGTAGAAGAGAAGAGGCCACCTTGCTTGCGAAGTGCAACAAAAAGACACGTTTCCTATCTGGGACTCGATTCCCATGTGACCGTCTGAGATTTTTCATGTGAGAATGTGAGCCTTTCTTGCTTTTTCATCAAGAGCGTTAAGTATTGCTATTTATTATATAGGTATGTTACAATCATTCGATCATACGTTCCAAAAGTGGACGCCTGCCTGCCGGTAGTTGAAGTCGTGAACGCCACAACGACAACGACTGTCAGTTTAGTGGCGCTGCCTTTACCGCTGCCTTTGCTTCGCTCAGGGGTTTAAGCGACACCTCATTCTACAGCAAGTACAGATCGAGGTTACATACTCCGTACGGTATGCATTCCGCCAATAAGCCAACCTATCTTTAATCAAGAGAATCTCCGGACCTGCAGTGCGCCTCTTGATGGTTCTGCCTAATCTGTACGGAGTGATGGTGTTTTCAGGTCGTTGGACAAACTCCCGCGTACGGAACCTGCTTAAACTGGCAGTCGCAAATGCCCCTGCCGGAACATTGAATGTTCCCCTCACGCCTGCCGGATTCTGCGGCAGTTCGCCTTTGCATGAAACGTATTTCAAAATTTTCTTTAAGATGTAGCCAGGCAGGAGGAAGCAATGGAATAATTGCGCTTTGTTCGTTTGAGCCTCTTTCGCCTGCTTGTTTGTAGATCGGAAATCGACAAGTGTTGTTGCGCTTTTAGCACCAAGATCTGTTCAAGGATAGATGGTGCGTACTAATAAGTGTTTCAAGATGCATCCGACATTTGCAGCTCTCTTGTTCCTCGGGCTATCGCTTGCGTTCTCGATAGTATCCGCTGATGGGCCGTGTTCTCAAATACAAAATCTTCAACATTCGGCACAGTCTGCCTCCCCGTCGGGTGAGTAGATATCCCGTGAAACCAATATAAAAAAGGCTAATCCCAATTTTAGCCAGGCCTGTGGCGATTCCTATTAAAGCGACTGTTGATTGCCTTCAGAATATAAGTATAAGTTTGAGAGGTGATAAATCTGATTTGCTTGGACAAATGTTCAAGTATTTAGAATGGCAAACAGGTAAAGAGATTCTTAAGTTGAAATAACTGTCTATCCATTTGGTCCCACGAAGAATATGACAGACTTGTTCTAACCCTTTACATAGACCTCGCAGATCTCAAAGATCCTCCTTCCGACTACCCCTATCCACCGCATGATCTGCTTGCCAGGCTTGCCGATGTAAAAGCAAAGGCTCAGAACAATTCATATGCCAACGAATATGAATTTGAAGTTGAGCTCTTCGAGAAAGTGTTTGCACCGGCTCATAGTGGGCATTTGATTTTCTACCCTGATCTGCTCACAACACCTTGGGCCTGGGCTCGAAATGTGTCCCTAGTATCCATCAGCAGCGATGGAACTGCTCTTCCCCAGATATATTTCCGAGGTAAGTCTAGATCTCCCAACCAGAGTTCCGAATGCCAGCTAAGCCATAATCAACAGACGATGTGATTTCAAACTCGTCAACCGCGTCACCCGTGACCGAGATTGATGGCGTCGACTCTGTACAATTCCTAGAAGATTTGGTTTCGAGGACAGCAGCGCAAGATCCCGACGCAGGGTACAACGCTATGTTCTACTCGAAACCCTATGTTGGCGCGGGTATTTCGAACGGCGGGTATTTTTCCCAGGGAGGGCGTCCGAGTGATGTTTATCCAGGTGAAAACACAACCTACACTTTCCAAAACGGAACAACGGTTACGTATGACAATATCGCACTTCTCAAATGGAATTTCACGGGAGCGAATAACAATCAGGTATTCGCGTCTAGGTATGGAGGGACGGGTTATAATGCCCAGTCACCAGTTAACATCCCCCACGATCCAATTGATTACCCCGCTGCGGTCGTTGCAAGCAGAGACAACTCTATATCCGGGTACTATCTCCAAGACGACCTAGAAGATGTTGCAGTGCTTAGCGTTTTATCATTCCAACCACGATCCGTGGCCGAGTTCCAAGCCGTTGCACAAACCTTCCTCGCAGATGCTGTTCGAGACGGCAAGAAGAAGCTCGTCGTAGATCTCAGCGCCAACAACGGCGGCTACGTACTATCAGGTTATGATCTTTTCCGCCAGATATTCCCTCAGATCGAGCAAGTTGGATATACGCGATATCGAGAGAACGAGCTCCTTCTTTCCTACGCCAACATCTCGAAAAAGCTCGTGCCCAACAACTTTGACCCGAATACAGCTTCCGCAAACCAGATCAGGGCCCATGAGGTTTCCTGGGACTATCTATATGACCTCAACACCGAGGACCAGCATTTTCCGAGCTTCGAAGCTAAGTTTGGTCCGCAGCCCTACAAAGGATCGAACTTCACCGCTCTCCAGAGCTGGGACCTCAACGATCCACTGACGACCATCAATAGCACATTCGGCTTCGGCATCGAGATCACCGGCTACGGAAATCGCACGAATTTCACCCAGCCCTTCGCCGCCGAGGACATCATTCTAGTCAGTTTCCCCCCCCCCCCCCTCGTCCAAAGTCCAAACTAACGCAACCCCCCACCCTAGCTCTACGACGGTTTCTGCGCCTCAACCTGCACCATATTCAGCGATTTC